GTTCTAGGAGTCCCCATACCCGTTAACCCATGGGTGAAAAATACCCGGAAACCCACGTAGACATTCCACATTCCTTGGCTCCAAATCAAAGTAGCCTTGCTCTCTACGTATTTAACCTCTCTCCTCTGTCCCTCACCCCTCCCTCACTCCACCGGTCCACCACCTATAGCTCACACCTTTCCTTCTAGCTGCCCAACCGCATGCCACAACCCATCGCTCACCAAAGAACCTTCCGCACCCTTCCACTGTTGGCGGGTATCGGTGACCCATCGGGTCTAATTTACCCAGTCAGGTATGGGTTTGAGGAAATTCCCCACCCGCAGCAGGATATGGGGATTTTGATGGTACTCCCTCTGTCCTAAAATAGAAGTCGTTCTCGTTTTCCGAGAAATCAACTTTTTTTAACTTGACTAATTATATATAAAAGAATATTAATATTTATAATATATAATTAGTATCATTAGATAGATCGTTGAATATACTTTCATAATAAACTTATTTGAAGATATAAATGTTGCACGTATTTTCTATAAATCTAGTTAAAGTTGAGAAAATTTAAAATGCACCTTATTTGAAGATATAAATGTTGCACGTATTTTCTATAAATCTAGTCAAAGTTGAGAAAATTTAAAATGCACGTATTCCGTAACGACTTTCTTTCTGAAACGGACGGAGTATTAGATTTTTCTGTTGCGATGGGTATGAGATGTCAATCCTCGATGGGGATTTACCTCATTGCCATCCTGATACTCGATTGGAGTGATTTGTTTTGTTTTGAATCGGCCTGGTGCCTCGTGCATGTAGTCGTGTGTTTTGGTACTAATAGTAGCATAGGGACGTACTTCTTTTGGACAAATGGTGTTCTTCACCCAGAGTAACGGAACTAGTGAACTGTCGTCACAAAAGAAATCAAATCTTACTGTCTAGACGTAGCATAGTTCTATTAGAGATAAAAAACAATGATGCAAATTGAACAAAAATGGGTCCATAGCTCAGTGGTAGAGCAATCGACTGCAGATCGATAGGTCTCCGGTTCGAACCCGGATGGGCCCTTTGTTCTTCTGCTTTTATTTTACTTTTTACATTTTTGTTTTTGAGGATTTATCGTTTTTGCTTTTTGAGCATTTACCGGGATGCTCCTCTGCTTTTATTTTACTTTTTTCATTTTTGCTTTTTGAGCATTTACCGGGATGCTCGAAAGGCAATGGTTTAATCACATCTTTTCCACTCTCCGCCCTAATACACGTATAGTACTTCAAAACAGAATAGACAGATAATTTGAGTTCATGTGACAACTCACTTTTGTAGTTTTGCATCACACCAACGAATAAATGAACTACATCAGTAGTACTTTTCAGCGAACAAATATTGTTTTGCTAAAATTTGGTTTATTCTGATGTTTATATTGATTTGTTGTGAGAAAAAATTACTATTCATTCGCTGAAAAGTACTACTGAAGTAGTTTAAGCGAACAGGACCACGCGTGCGACCATTCAATTGCTGCAGTGGTCTGGAGTTGTGCCTGTAACTCCCCCTCCAAAGGGGCCATCAGCAGCATGTTCGCTTCGTCGTAAACGATCGTGGATTATAAGGCAGAACAGTATTTTTCTCTCACACTAAACTAGTCAGCAGTAATAATCCACGATCGTTTCAGCCGAAACGAACAGGCTGCACTTCATTTCTCTTACCTGCAAGTTAAAAGAATCAATAACTTCCAGATTGTAGTAAACTAAATGGTTCTTCACAATGTTTTTGGCACAGGGCACAGTGACTACCTCGCCAAGAATGTTCCAGATCACATTCTCAGTGCATGGAGGTGCAGTGAGGGATCCAACGTATCAGTAATATCTATCCGCGCCCTGCCTCGGTTCTGTCATGTCCACCACTCCAACAGGGAGAGGATCGCCTTTCTTCGCCTTGCAGCCCTCCGCATACAACTCAGCCAACTGTTCCTTTATCTGACAGTCACGCACAAAACAAAAATAGTGAGGTGGTGTTTAAATCTAGGTGTAAAATTTTGAGGTGTCACATCAAATCACTACTGGAAACTGGATGTTTGTCGAGTGCTAAAATATTTACTGAGTGCATTCTATCGGACACTCGGTAAAGAAGTTATTTGCCGAGTGTTGTAAAAAAAACACTCAGCAAAATAATTGCACACAGCAAAAGAGGTAAAAAAACACTCGGCAAAGATAATTTTGCCGAGTGCGATGATTTGACACTTGGTAAACTTAGCTTTGCCGAGTGTCCTAGATTCGACACTCGGCAAACTCGGCATCTTATAAACTCACGCGGCCACCGCCCCCTCCCTCCCACTCTCCCTCCGCCACCCCTCCCTCTCTCCCTCTCTACCCCGGCGCTGCCCCTCCCTCTCTCCCCTCCCTCCCTGAGCACGGCACCCCTCCCTCCCCTCCCTCCCGGACTCGGCCGGCGGCGGCACCCCTCCCTTCCCTCCCTCCCGGATCCAGCATCCCTCCCGGATCCAGCGGCCGCGGGCGAGGAGGAGCCCGGATTCGGCAGCGCGGGCGCGGCCGAGGCGATACAAGCGGCGCGGCTGCGGCGGCGCTCCTCCTCCGGCCTCAGCTCCCTGCGGTGGCGTTACTCCTCGACGTTTGCGTCAACTCCGGCGGCGGCACCCCTCCCTTCCCTCCCTCCTGGATCCGGCACGGCGCCCCTCCCTCCCCTCCCTCCCGGATCCAGCGGCTGCGGGCGAGGAAGAGCTCGGATCCGGCGACGCGGGCGCGGCCGAGGCGATACAGGCGGCGTGGGTGCGCCGGCGCTCCTCCTCCGGCCTCAGCTCCCTGCAGTGGCGTTACTCCTCGACGTTTGCGTCAACTCCGACGGCGGCACCCCTCCCTTCCCTCCCTCCCAGATCCGGCACGGCGCCCCTCCCTCCTGGATCCAGCGGCCGCGGGCGAAGAGGAGCCCAGATCCGGCGGCGTAGGTGCGGCCGAGGCGATACAGGCGGCGCGGCGGTGGGGTTTTTTTATTTTTGAAATATTTTTTGCCGAGTGTCGGGTTTAGTACTCGACAACGTCTTTGCCGAGTGCTCAACAAAAAACACTCGGCAAAGACACATTTGCCGAGTCTATGTTTGCCGATTGTCGTTTGCCGAGTGCAACACTCGGCAAAGGCTTTGTCGAGTGCTTTTTTGCCTTCGCCGTGTGCCGTGAGCACACGGCGAACCTGTGCATTCTGGTAGTGGATGTTACGTGGGGTGTCGCGTAGGTTGTTTGGATACTAATAAAAAAATAAATTACAGAATCCGTCAGTAAACCGCGAGACGAATTTATTAAGCCTAATTAATCCGTCATTAGCACATGTGTGACTGTAGCACTGTATTATCAAATCATGCACTAATTAGGCTTAAAAGATTCGTCTCGCAAAGTAGTCGTAATCTGTGCAATTAATTATTTTTTTAGTCTATATTTAATACTCTATGCATGTGTATAATTCGATGTGATGGGTGTAAAGTTTTGGCTGGGATACATTTTGGCTACTTACTACGAGGGTTAGTTAGATACAAGGTAAGCTAAACATGCAACTGCACCAGCATTGCTCAAGCATCTACTAGTTCAAATGCAAATGACAAATCATTTCCACGCTCTGAACCCAAGAGAAATGCCTTGAACACTTCATTCAGTTCTTGGCTTCTTGAACTGGTCAAACGTCTCATTGTTATTCAGAGTAGTTCAAGCCTGATATTTCTAATCATTACCGTCGAGTCATAGTTACCTAAAAACCAAAGTTCGGCTAGGCGGCGCCTAGTCGGCGACTACGCGCGCCTAGTCGCTGGGCGAAGCCCGTCGCCGCGACTAGGGGCATAGGCGCGCATCGCGGCGCTAGGCAGTGCTAGGCGGCGCGGACGCGGCGCGGAGGCGCGCGAGAAGAGCGCGAGCTCGAGTTTGGCGCGCCAAATCGGAGCGCGGGAGGAATTCCCGCGCGGCCACGAGACCCAGGCGCGGGAGGATTAGAAGGGAGCGTGGCCTGCTCCTCCCGCCGGTCCTGCTCGTCTCCTACTCATCCTCTGCTCCTCCCCTGCTCCTCCTCTGCTCCCACCGGTCCTGCTCCTCCTCTGCTCGTCCCCTGCTCGTCCCCGACTCGCGCGCCCCCGGTCCTACTCGTCGTTGACTCGCCGCCGCCGTCCTGCTCATCCTCGACTGGAACCCCTCCCCGCCGGCCACCCCAAGTCCCCAATGTGAGCTCCCTTCCCTCCCATGCTCCTCTCCCCTCCCATGCCGGCAGCTCCTCCCCTGCTCATCTCCCCTGCATGCTCTCTTTCTTTACAGACCTGAAAAGAGACAACTTCCTGGCCAGTGATGCAAAAACAACATCACCCCCAGGTAGTACACAGATATCCCTAATAGCTTTAGTATCAGGTGGAAGGTAGATCTTCTCCATTCCATGTCTATGAAATATGCTGATCTGTTGAAATTAAGAATTGATTTGCGAAAGGTGAATAATCAACAAAAGTTTACTAAAAAACTGTTACTCACCTGAAGTCATTAAGAAAAAGCTTCTATTAAGACTTGTACCTTTGTAAGGATGTGTTCATTCTACAAAACATGCTGCAATTGTGAGTTGGTGAATGACAAAGTTCCTTCATAACTCTACTGCTATAGTGATGCTGCTGTTCCACTGACTGTATGATTGAAGTTGGCATGGTAAGAGGCACATGCTTCATAAGTAATAGTAACCATTAAACAGCTTGTGCAGTCTTGTTACAAGTAATAGTAACCATTAAGTAATCAGACAACACTGAAAACAGACCTGGAGAGCAAAACTTGACAGATTGTTGTGATCAATGTTCTTTGTAAGTGAGGCAATTGGCTCTTCCCCTGGTATTCCATCTGATGACTGCTCTGTCATTTTCTTCATAGTTGATTGTAAACATGTTAACATTAAAGCTTCTATTACAATGATTAATCGTTAAAATTTGAGCGATACTAGTGCTTACTTGTCTCTTTGAGCTTGATTTAACTCTTGAATTTGAATGTAGGATGTCGACAGAACAAGGTGTTTCTGCACCAGATGCAATAGGAACTGAGGCAACTAATCTCCTGAAAAGGAACTCAGATGATGTTGGATGGGAATATGGTGTTCTTGTTGATGCTAGCAACAAGGACAAGGTGAAGTGCAAGCTCTATGACAAGGAGATGAGAGGAGGGATTCATAGGTTGAAGGAGCATTTGGCTCATGAAGGAAAGAATGTGAAGAAATGCACAGCAAGAACACCACAGGCTATGGAGGCTAAAGAGAAGTGCAAGAAGGCACTAGCTGATGCAAAAAGGAAGAGGGAGGAGAAGACTCTTCGTGAGCTAGAAATTAGAGAGGAAGTTCATGTATCTAGGGTTGGAATAGATTCAGATGAAGTCACCTGTGTTGGAAGTTTAGAGCCCCACAAATTAGGACCCATTGACAAATGGACACGTGCTATTGATCCTAAAGCTACCAAGTCTGATTCTTTGAAGCAACAGCAGCTAAACAAGGAACTTTAGAAAGAAAGAACCAATGAGGTGCATAAGTACATTGCAAGATGGGCCTATACACATGGTAAATTGCTAGTATACTATGCTGTTTTTACATTTCAAAGTTCATTAGATGTTGTTTTTCTGTACTGAACACTAATTATGCTTCTTTCAATGTTGTGTTGACAGGAATTGCTTTCAATGCATGTGATAATGATGAGTTCAAGCAAATGTGCGAAGCAATTGGACAGTTTGGTCCAGGACTTGTACCTCCAACTCAGGATGCACTGCGAGGGAAGTTGCTGGAAGAAGAATATGAAAGAACCAAGAGTTTGCTGCAGGAGCGTGAAGCCGAGAAGATGAAAAATGGATGTTCTATTATGACTGATGCTTGGTCAGATAGGAAGAGAGAAGCATAATGAATCTGTGCATCAATTGTGCTAATGGAACCTCCTTCATCAGCTCTAAGGAGATGTCACATGTCTCACATACCAATGAGGTCATCTTTGATCTTGTGGACAAAGCAATTGAAGAGATTGGTCCAGACAATGTGGTGCAAGTAGTGACTGATAATGCCTCCAACAACATGGGAGCAAAGAGGCTATTGGAAGAAAAGAGACCACACATATTTTGGACCTCTTGTGCAGCTCACACAATCAACCTTATGCTCCAAGGAATTGGCAACTTGACTCGGTTCAAGAAAGTGGTTGACTAAGCAAAGGCATTTACCATATTTGTCTATGGCCACACAAGGACATTGGAGTGCTTGAGATACTTCACAGAGGGGAAAGAGATAGTGAGGCCAGGAGTGACTAGGTTTGCTTCAAACTTTCTCACTTTGAGTAGCATGCAAGAGAAGGACCAGTTAAGGAAGATGGTGGTTCATAGTAGGTGGGACTCATTGAAGGATGTGAAATTAAAGAAAGGAAAAGAGGCAACAGCAACTATATTGAGTCCAAGCTTTTGGAAGGATGTGAAGCTAACATTGACTGTTTTTGAGCCATTGGTCAAAGACCTCCGTTTGGTTGATGGGGATGTGAGGCCATCCATGGGTTTCCTTTATGGAGAACTACTAAAGGCAAAGAGACAGATCAAAGAGGCCTTTGGAAATGTTGAGGCTCAGTTCAAGGATGTAATAGCTGTTATTGACAAGAAGATGAATGAAAGACTTGATTCTCCATTGCATTTGACAGCCTATTTGCTGAATCCTCACTATAGCTATAGTGACCCATCAATCTTTGATCAGCCCAAAATATTATAAGGGTTTATATCTTGTGTTGAGAATTTTTTTTATCATGATGAGGACATGCAGCATATGGCTGCCAACATTGAACTAAAGAAGTTTCATAATAGAGAAGGACCCTTTAGCAAGAAGCTTGCTAGGAATTTTGAAAACTTTGATTACAACCCAGGTAGAGGTACTTTCTATGGCTCATGGTTGTTTGTTGTTTGCTGTTTTCTAAACTAATAGAGGTGTTTTTTTTATTTCAGCATCATGGTGGAGACTGTATGGATATGAAACACCAGCTTTACAGAAGATGGCTACAAGGATCCTATCTTTGACATCAAGCTCTTCTGGTTGTGAAAGAAATTGGAGTGGGTTTGAAGGGGTTAGTACCTATCTATTATGAACATTTCAGTTGCAGCAGCATTACAATTAAATTGTAGAACTGAGAATGCTCTTTTTAAATTATAGATACACACTAAGAAGAGGAATAAGCTTACTACAACCTGCCTCAACAAGCTGGTGTATATCCAATTCAACTCCAAGCTGCTTAGTAAGAGAGAAAAAATCAAGTCAAACAAAATCACTGATGTTCTCTTGTCTAGTGATACAACTGAAGCTCAAGGTTTTCTCCAAGAGGGTGGGGATGATTGTGCATTAGCTGACTTTAGAGATGGGGAGGAAGATGAGATGGAAGGTACAGGGATACCTTGGTCTGTCATTGGAGAGGCAGTGGGAGCAGATGAACAGCTTGAGCTGCGTAGAAGTGCAAGAGTGAGGGAGCTCTATAAAGGAGAAGAATTTGAGTCTGAAGAAGAAGAGTATGACGATGAGGATGTGTACTACAGTGAAGAAGAAATATGATCTGAACCATCTCCATCTAGTAGTGAAGCCTTTTGTGATGCCCTGGTCTTCTTTTGTGATTTGTGAGACCTGAACTAAGAACTATGTGCTTGTGTTGTCCTTTATTTATAAATTGTGTTGTGCATTTGTATTACTATCCTATCCACTTGTATTGTAATTACCAGCTGCTGATATGGTGTGCTCATGGATGGGAGGCTGCTGAAATCATCCAGATAAGTCACAACTTAGTGTTTTCTATTTTTTTTTATGAACAGCTAGCTGTCTATTGACTAATTTACTAACTACTAGCTGTCAAAATGTGTTGCAGGAGCTAGGAAGTAGGAACATACAAGAGTAAGCCAGCTAGGAATCAGATATGTCTATTGTCCCTCTTTTTATACTTACTGTGACTCATATATAGTAGTTATATACATATATATATATATATAGTTATATACATAATATATATATAATTTATAGCTATATTGCCAAAACGTCTAGGAAAACGCCTAAGGAACGCCTAGTACCGAGTACTCCCGACTAGGCGCTAGGCAATGAGTCAGCGCCTAGATTTCGCCTAGCGCCTAGCTGAACTTTGCTAAAAACATGTATAGAGTGTGTACATTCATAATAATCTGGATCCTTTTTGTTTCTTAGTATGACCAAAGTGCAAAAATTACATGGAACTAGTCAAAGTACAGGGTGAGTCTGTTCACCTGGAAAAGGAAAGGGTCTGGTTTGCCATGTCGATAAAGGATGGCCACAACAGTAACGTTTCCGTCTTCAGTTACGTGAACCATGTGAAGCTCCATCGCAAACCTACCAGGGACTCAAGATAAGGCATGGGTGTATTAAATTAGTACAGCAGATAATCCATGCTGTACAATTTATCAGAGTGTACATGCAAACCTTTCGCCATTGATGGTGTGCTCCGACGGGGAATGCCAATGCAATTGCTTTAGCTTATACTTTATCCCACCCACCTTCACGGTCTCAGCGGTGTCATTGTAACGCACCTGCATCATCAATGACACCAGATGATGATGATCCATATTGATAAATCCACAACTCAGAATTTGGAGGTAACATGTGCAAATGTGAATGAATCATTTTCTTTTACATATTTGGGTCTGAAGTTAAAGTTATTTCTAATGTACGTAAAACATCACAATCACATAGCGGATATCAAATCCACATGAACCACCTGAACAGAAAACACTTCCTCTATCAAAATAGATATATATGAAATGTTCCCATAGTACTCCTTCCATCCCATAAAGTGCACTTCTAGGATTCTTTGGGGAGATTAATGTTGTTAGGCAATGACATAGATACCTCTATAAAAAGTTCTCCTAGCATGCAATAATTGCACTTTGAAAGCAACCAAGCCTACCGATGCAAGGTGTGGTCCATGATCTAGAAGGGCATTTACTGTGGGGCAATTTTTGAATGGCAGAAGTGCACTTATTTTTGGGATGGTGGGAATAAGTATTAAGCCAAAGGTTTTAATTATACATATACTTTGTAATACAATTAAAACTAACTATTCGGTTCAGAACAAACCGCGATGTTGAAGACATTGTCAACAATGGTTGCATTTGTAGCTGTATAATCCCTTTCAAGGGGCTCCAACTGCGGAACATAGACCGCTTCATCCTTCACGATGTCGATTGGAGATTGCTGTATTCCATTTGAGCAAAGTGTGAAATTAGGGCTTAAGCTTCCCCAATATTTTGGGCCAGTACTTCCACTGTAATCAAAGCTCACACCATCTGCATCAAGTCAAAAAGAGATTCTCATCTGACATCAACCATAATACCTTTAGTTTTTTAGTCTTTTCATACAAATATTATGAGCACAAATGAAAAGCAAACTCTTCTTAATTCACTGTTTTCATCAATTTTCTGATTTGTGTGAATTTACTATTGGCTTTCATCACCTCATGAGGACTTTATAATTAAAGCATTTAATTTTTCAGATTTTATTTTCCTTTTTCCCTCTTCTTCCTCTGAACATATCATGAAACTATTGTGTATCTTCCAAAAATAGAGAGATCAAGCATCTATCTTTTCATTCTATTCTCAATTCTATAGGAACCTTTCTAATTATGTTCTTTAAACTCCATGCTCCCATTCAGAAATGTCAAAAGAATGATCTCTGGGAACAATCAGGAGGAAACTATAGACAGTGGTAAGGACAGTTGCAATTGATAACATTGAACACTGGGAGATGATCTATTAACGACGTTGAAAAATTACCGTAAAGGCAGCTAAACACTAGAATAACTAGCTAGATTAAAAAAACAATGCAGTATAAGACTCGTGCCACTGCCACGTGGTATCAAGTACCATACAACAGAGCAGCAACGAACTTGCTGCAAATGACACTTTTTGATTATGGTGATGCTTGCAGGAAAAAACGCGTACCATGGTCACATGCATGGTGCACGAGGAAGCAAGAATACATCAGTGCAACACACAACACACTTTTCTTGGTAGTTGCCATCTATCCCTTCCCCTGCTCAGAAATAAACTTCTGGTATCCTTCCAATAGATGCAGAGTAGTGGAGAACCATACAACTACAAGCCCTCAAGTCACAAGCAGGACATACAAATATATAGGAAGCCTAACAGAATAACAGTGTTGTATAAGCCAGCTTCCTTCTACCTGTGATATAATATAATATGTAGACCGATTCAATGCCTTGATGTTATGGCTCCAGCAAAGTGTCACCTTCTATTTAATTGGGATAGTTACTCTTGTAGCATCATGGATGATTACATAAGTTTCTTAGTCTAGTCCAATGTCAGCTCAATCAAAAGGTAACTTCTCCATGACACATAAAAATAAGACAAATCGTTCTTAGTAGCTACAAATGTATCACTACACAGTGATGGAAACAATGTAGGTATATTTTGCTCGCTTGGAAATTGATATCAACAATGTTGACAACCATACCTAGATAGTACACTATGCTTTTCTCACACACACAAACAAAAACAAAGCGGCCACAACTCAAACTTAAGAGAGTATTATACCCATGATTGGTATTTTCCAAGAAAAAGCTTCCTAGTGTATGGCATCATAAGGATATTGAATTGGAATATACCATTATGGAAGGATGGTTTGTGGGATCTGGGATCATATGAGATTAACATATTGGGTACATTTTTTCTTGAAAGTGCTGGAGAATTGTGCTTTTCATTCTGTTAAGAAGAATAGGAGAGTCTAAGAAGACTCATACAGCCCCTAGTGGGGCAGGGCTAATTACATCTAGGCTTGTCAATGAACCACTAAATGACCAGCGACCAAGTCCGAGCACTGCTCGTACAAGTGTTGCTCTCCTAGCTGGGTGCATCATGACTGCTTTCCACCCAGGCAATCTATCAGGAATTTTATGAATTATAGCACAGAAATCAGCCTTGGAAAGAGTTCCTTAATTGATAATGGCAATCCAAGATATTTGCAAGGGAATTCCCTAAAAAAAAAAAGATATTTGCAAGGGAGTCCTGTACAAGGCTATGCACGCAATGGATGCTTGCACAGCTGCAATATCTCCCCAAAAAGGAAAAGGCACAACAGAATTTCTTACAAGAACAGAAACTATCACAAATCCCAGTCAGACGATGCACAAAATAGGCCCTTGTGTCAAAACTCGAAAGCAGAGTTCTTTCCCACTGACAGAAACGTAGAAGTTGATGGTAAAAATAACAAGGTTTAACTTCAAAGCATTTGTTATTCTCCTCGACCACAGAACAATTACATAAACTGCATGATCCTAGTGTAGAACTATTAATCATGTGTCAAAACAATGAATTAATGGATTCTACAACCATGAACTGGTAAGAGAAGATTTCTTCAAAAAAAAAACTGGTAAGAGAAGAATGCTATCTTTCCCCCCTAAAAGAACATCTTTTCCTTATTATATGAAACTACTTTATTAAGCAAATAAGAGACTGTTCCACTATATTTAACAGCATTAACATGTATATGATACCAATATCTAACCTCTGGCAAACTAAATCACGAAACTGCTAGGATACGTCATCTTTGCCCCTGGTGCTGCACAAGGATCACAACTATACAAGACTGAGAGTTTGAATCAAAGAAGAAGCAACCATACATTGAAGAGCTGAATACTGGTAAGTACTACTGCATGGGAATCCTTATCAACAGCTATTCTTTGGGTGAAAAAGTTCCCACATTTTTTCCACCATGGTCAATACGAATTTCATTACTAGTGTAACGAAATTACAAAGTTCTTAGTTTCAAAAGTACCACCAAACACCGTCCGCAAACCCAAACCCGGCCACTGAGCGCAAAGGGCTCAGCCCTGCTGGGGACCACCTTACACGCACAGCAAGCCAACATAGGCTGCCTAACCAGTCCTACAAGGTTGATTAACACTACTGTTACTAGATGTCAAAAACATAAAACAGATGCACGAAGAAAAGTACAGGCTCAAACTATTACTAGATGTCCACAAAAAGGCTCCTCATTATAGATGCAGAACCTTATGACATGGATCTTATGAAAGGCCAACCTGTGCACTAATACAATCATATCACAAATAAATGAGTAAATAAAATAAACTTAGATCTTAATATTTAATTTACAATTCAGTAATATATGCATGTGATAATTAACATGTCACATATATACAGAACAGGCCAGATAGAAATTGTACATATATATATATATAAATTAGGGAGAACGAACATTTGCATACACTCTCAAATGCTAACAATTTATTTGTTAATCTAGGACATCATAAGGTTATATCATTCCTCTCAACCTCCAATGCTATTTCATTTCGCCTTTTGAATGGAAGTGTGAAAGGTGGATTGTACTGCAGATTGAAAAAATCTAGAATCAGGCACTGATAACATTCCTCTAATAAACTGGGTAAAACTACAGCACATAAACCGTAACCATTTCAGAAGCTTTACCTGTGCGACTTCCACCACTGAATCATCTTTCACCCTAAACTCGGTATCTTTATGGAGATTCACGCAATTTAGATTCCCTCTGGCTTATATCATCATCAGTAACCAAACCTATACGAACACAAAAGGAGTATGGACTATGACAATGGTAGCATGGTCGACAAAGATTGCACTGCAGTATCAATATGACTTCATAACTGACCATATCCAAGATATCAACAAGGAATGAAGGGAAATGATTCATTTAGCACAGAGCTAACCATCTGACTATTTTAGCTTCAGAGTTTTAAAAACAAATGGAGAAGCTTACTGTTGTGAAAACTTTCTCTAGCCAATAAAATTTGAGGTTAACAGAGTTTTTTGTGCTTTTATTATATTTTGAACAAAAAAATTGTAAACTCTGTAAGACAAATGGTAAATAGGTAGAGCGCATTTCAAAATAACAACTTAAGAAAATCTGGTTCGATTTGTGTCATCATGAAAGTAACTCCATATTAAAGATCGTGTTGGAGGTTTTGAATTGGGAAGGAACATGACTACTTCTGTCATTCTAAACTATTTCCTGACTGAAAACAAAAGGCATGTGGTTAGTGATAATAACGGCAGCCTCCACACACATGTTTCGGTTGGTATCTTGAGTAATCAACAGAAGAAAAGGCACAGAAAATTGGTACAGAATATTTCTACTTTTTCATTACAAATACTGAAAATAAGATTTCAAAATTGGTACATGTTTCGGTTGGTATCTTGAGTAATCAACAGAAGGAAAGGCACAGAAAATTGGTACAGAATATTTCTACTTTTTCATTACAAATACTGAAAATAAGATTCCGTGCACATGTTACGTACTTTATTCTGAATTTAACAAGATAGCTTCTTAAGAACCAGGGCAGAAGTCACATACAGTTATGAAATGGGTATGACAGAAGCACAAGATTATGGACCTGACAAGGCTGCAACAGCAACGATTTTGCTGGGCACCTCCTTGATAGTCACAGAAGGATCTTTTGGGCAAGGCAGGTTGGAACCATACTTCGCTGGCATCACAAATGACATTTTCCATTTATTTTAACCAGCTGACTGCAGGTGAAAACACACAAAAAGGAAAGGTAAAACTTCATCACTTTCTTGATAATGAAGTAGCCTGAATCGCCAAACAAAGACAGCTCAAAACAATGGCACAAGTGAAACTAAAATCCACCTTTGTTATCACTGGGGTCGTCATGTCCATTGTTTCACTGTTTGACTCACCCCCGAGTAAAAACAGGTGTTGTCATTTCCATTTGCTCGGAGGCTGTGTTCTGCAAGCAAGTATGTCAACGATAAAGTGAATTAACATTGTGCAATTTTCACTTTAATTCAAACTATGAGTCTATGACTATCCAATGAAACAAGGGAAGGGACTTGTGACCCGCGGTAGAAACGTGGCAAATACCTTACCGAATAAATAAGATGCCAGCACGTTGAATGACTGAGATGATCCGTTGAAATCAAACCCAGATCTTCCGGGCATCGTTGTTTCAGCAGTGAAGTATGACTGATCAGAGTTCACAACAAAAGACACTATTATTCAATGAACCTCATGGTATTATCATATCCCAATGGGTTCCATTTTCACACATGCACAAAAAAAACGTGGTTGAAAAGCGAAAACATATTAGCACAATTACCTCCACTTCTCTGATCTCGTACTCTGCTTCGCGCTTCAGGACGCGGAACGGAACTGTCTCGAGATCAGGCACTCGAAAAAACACATGAATCTAACTAAGAAATCGAGGCCTCAAATCCTGATGATTTTACGAGTTGGGGAGCACAAGCTGTTGCTATCCATTTATTACCAACCGGACATGAGGGCCTCCTCGAGGGTGCGGGGCTCGAAGCGGCGGGACGGGAAGGCGTACTTGGCGGCCTCGCCGGCGAGGTCGGCGAAGCGGCGCTGCGAGGCGGAGAGCGCCTGCGAGGCCAGGGCCAGCAACAGCGACGCGCGGGCTTCCGCTCCGCTCACACGGGTCAATCTGGGAAAAAAAAACGAGAACCGAACCGAAACCGAAATATTCGGCGCCAGGTTCAGTTCCGGCTTCTATAAACCGAAATTATTACGGTTAATTCAAAACTTGAATATTGTTCTATGCTTAATATTTTAGAGAACAATAATATATATGTGTTATACTGTTGTTTTATGCTGCATTGTTGTTTAAATTGTCCCTTCTGACGGTATGAAAATCAGACAAAATGCTACCGAAATTTATAGTTGAATGGATTGTTTCTCGGTTCCTAGAAAATTCGATTCTATCGGTTAGAATCGAAACCGAACTGAATTACTCAAAACCGAAATTCCTCGGTTCCGCGTTCTCAAAGTAACTGATTGGTCCCTTCTTCTCAGGTAAACGAAATAGCTAAAGAACCGAACGCCCAGAGTTACACACGGGTGTCCGCGGCCACGACGACCGTCCGCGGCGGGCGGATGCCTCGGGGAGGCTGGCCTGGGGCTCGAAGCGGCCGTGGGGAAGCGGAGCACAGCGGCGATGGCGCCATTCGATTTCCAGTTCGGAGCGGTGACCGCGAAGCGCGAGCGATGCGGTGCGGATGAAAAAATTGCAAAAATGACACTCGAAAGATTGGCCCCGTTCGGCTTGCTGAATTTTGGCTAAAACTGGCTGAAAATATTATTCTGCCTGAATTGTTATGAGAGAAAAATATTGTTTCGGCTGAAAAAAGAAGTCGAACAAACCGGCTTCTGGGTAAGCCGAACGGGGTCTTCGTGACGATGACACTCAGGTGGATGACAAGTGGGCCCATCTATATCTATGAATATGAGTAAAATATTAAATCTATAAACGACCGATGTTTCGAGTCCCATCTTAACAAATCGCCCTGTGCGGATTGCCGGATTGGCGATTGCCTCGCAGTGGTGCCGTGGTGACTGGCCGCCCGGTGGCGCTCGTCCCTGCGAGAAGGCGGCGGTCGCGTTCTGGTGTTTGTTCTATTGTGGCTGATTTTTACGTTGCGACTTCTCTAGACACTGGAGTTCCGAATCTGGGGCGGGAGCGCGAGGCGGTTTGGGTGGTTTTGCTAGCTTTGAGTAAAATCCGGTTATTCTCTTAAAATATAACTATTCTATACCTATTAATTTTCATAGACACTGCGTATAGAAAACATAGTCTTAATGAATAATTTCTACAGAATAATTTTTTTATCCAATCAAATACATTATCTCTCCATTTTCTACCAATCACATCCCTTCATGTCTTGGTTCTCGTGTACATAGGGTTTCTAACTTAGACCCAGTTTCTATGTTTTTTTCTCTTTCTTCGATAACTACCCTGTGACGTCAGCAAAACGCTTAGGGCACGTACAACGCATGTGCTGGCCGTCATCTCCGAGTGCTAATTTTGCAATATCCCCCTCCATCGCTACAGTAAATGAGGAGAGAGAGCAAAGCCGTCGTGTCGTGAGACGACGGCGAGCGCTCGTGCTCCCAAACGGATTCGACGGCTGGCTTTGCGTTGTGCGGAGCCGTCGTCTTGAGCCGACGCCGCGCGGATCTTGCTACACGCACGCGAGGTGAAAGAATCGCGCCAAAAATCAAAGCCGTCTTCTCTGTCCCTTCGTCCTCACCGGCGGCGCACGGAGGGCGAAAGCGACAAGGGTGCAATGGCCGAATGGGCAAGGGTAGGGCGAGCAGATGCGTCAAGACTGGGTAGGGCGGGCGAAGGCTAGCGTATGCGTCGGCACCGGCGGGGCGGGCGAAGGAGCAAGAGCCAAGACAATGAGGACGAGGGCGTGGCGGACCACAGCCACGCCCGGCGAGGAAGAGCCACCACACACGCGGCAGGCGGCGGCGGGGTGAATATGGCGGAGGTGAGCTTCGCAGGTGTCCATGGAAACTGAATCCAGAAATCCATCAAACAGCGCCATTCCCTAGCATCTCTCCTTCTATCGACTTGACCTGCATCCAGAAATCCATCAGTGGCTTTGTACCGATTTGGTTGTTCTCTCATGCATGGATGCATCGTCAAGTTTGGGATCCAGCAACCAAGTAATCTCCTTGTAAACGTCACATGTTTATTTGCAACCCTGAAATTCAGCATGCACTGCAATTCTAGTTTTTGATAGCATTTGCAACTTTGCAAGATCCATGTATTCTAAGATCATTATTTTCAGTTAGTGATGACCGAATGTTTTTAGTTACTGATAACTGGATGTTCTTTGCTACTAGCAGGGAAAATGAGGAAGCCATGGTGAGTTGTGTTTTGCTTCCATCAAGGAAAATCTGATAGTTCTGTTAGTATAATCAGCTGATGGTCACTTATTCTGATGGTAGCCTAGGAATTCACTTGTTCAGTTCTGATGGTTCAGCCTAGAGTTCTGATAACAGACTATGAATTCACTTGTTCAGTTCACTAAAAATTCTACTTGTAACGTATGTTATATTTGATTTATGAAATATATTTACTACATTATATATACTCTCTCCATGCTAAAAAATGAAGTCAGTTTTGGACAAGATTTGAGTCAAATATTGGGAATATAAATCATGAATAACTTTTAAGTTGTTGAGTTTGGAAATATGAAAACCATATGTATAGATTTATCTTGAAAAATACTTTCACAAAAATTTACATATATTACTTTTTGATAAATATCTTTATAAAAATAAGTAGTCAAAGTTATGCTTTGGAGACCGTGTCGCTGTCTAAAACGACTTCATTTTTAGTATGGAGGAAGTATAATACATGATTTATTTTGAAGAATTTGTTTTGCATTAATTAGCAACACAATGGTACGTAGAAATGATATTCATGATTGATCATGGTTGCATGCCAAGCATTAAACGATTTGTAGACAGCCAAACAGACAGCAGCTGTCTGTGGGTTGTACTAGCTATCTGTTTAGCTGTCTGTGTTGTAAATTCTAAAAACATACAGACAGCAGCTGTCAGGTGACTGTACAATTAATGTTCATAGAAACTATGGCATGTTCGACTAGTATTAAAGCTGGCTGATAAGCTGGCTGAATTTGTTTTGTTGTGAGAGAAAAATACTGTAGATTCTAGCTGATAAGCCGGCTGATAAGTTCAAGCGAACAGGCCACAGTTTCTGCATTAGGAGTGCCCTAATATTTGACAGTATAGAGTATACTCTCTTTACTTTTAAAATCAGACATCATGATCTCTCAACCATTTTAAAGTGGTTTCTTAGATGATTTTGTTGGCATGGTAATACTGGTCACCAGTCATTTGGTCTATCTCTTTCTTATCTATACCTAATAATAAAGATGTAAAATTTCTGATCATTTTTTTTATTCATCTTTTTTTTTTTGTTCGTCTCCCTCTAACTGAGCCCTTCCCTAACTATATACATGTATATGCAAATTAGGAATCCTAATCTAAATATAGATTCCTCCACTCCTAAATAAACCTGAATAGAAATAGAAATCCTAATCAAAATAGAAAATGATAAAAATCGTTTGATCTTTTTTCCTATTTTTTTATCTACGAGGATGTTCAACTTTATTATTATTTTTATGTCATACGTTTTCCAGTTTCTTTCTTTTTTGCTGTTGCAATGTCGTACGTTTTTAGTTTTCTTTTTTTTTAGTTTTCTTTTTTTTCAGGGTTCGGTTTCGGTTTTTCTGTCTTATTACTTTTTTCCTTTCCTTTCCATGTTATGTTTCCTTTACTTTCCCTTGTCCGTTTCTTCTTCTTTTACCTTTACTTTTGTCACATTTGGAGTTCGAACCTCGACTTCCCTGTCACTTTTTTCTCTATGATTTTCTATTTTGATTAACTCTTGATCCTATTTTGAGAAAAAGAGAGATTTTCACTTCCAAGATATTAATATAGTTTTAGTTAGTAAAAAAATATCTTATTATAACCAGTTGAATTTTTTGTTTAACTAAACAAAGTTTGAAATAAAATCTTGACCACTTTGTTTTCTGATCTGTTCTAAATAAATGTCCGTAAACTGTATATATGTATATATATATATATATATGTATATATATGTACCAGCACAATCCTCAATGAAGGTTACATGTGAAAAAATTAGAAAGGTCTTCCGTCATAATCTTCTGCAGATAGATCAGTCCTTGATTATAGGTCCACAAAGAAAGTCATAGAACTCGATATTTATAACTATATCAATGCATAAATAGTATAAAATTATTTATGTGTGTCCGGGAATGCCCTTGCTGTGACCCTCGCCTCTCATTCGTCCGTGATATTGACCTCACAAATATATAGTGCCGCAAACCTCCCACCACCGGACCTTTCATGCAAAGAGTAAGAGATCAGGGCATCTTCGTAAATTTGCCTAGCCTCATTGACTTTGCTCACTATTGGCTCCAGGCCAGCGAGGGCAACCCGGCCCAGGCTCCATTTAATGTCCATTTACTCTTGAATTTATTGTGTCCTCTCGAGCACCATATTTTCGCATGTTTCTTGCTCGCTTTCTGTGGAACACCCTCGGCCTCCGCCCTCGCGGGCCTCAGTCGAGGGTCCGGATATAGAGTGTAATTCCCACAATGTTCTTTATAACGAGAGAACAAAACTACCAAAATTGTATTTTCAATTTGATAATAACTTAATATGACATTATTGTATTATTGCTAACATTTATTAGCTTATACTATGGATGTCATGGTCATCATATAACATAAATTATATCTTTTAATTTTTATAGAAAAGGTAAACTATATAATTAGATATATACCATTTATGTCATTGTTTTTCGTGAATATTTGATAGTTTTTTCTCCCGTTGCAACGCACGGGTATATTTGCTAGTATATATAAAAATAACATAACTTTGTCGTATAAAGTTATATGAATGCAAACTCTATATTAAAGATGTAATGCTCGGCACGATCTATAATTTTATAGTTGATAATTTTTTTATTTGATATATTGTAGAAGCTTAAATATTCGTTTTAAATTATTAGATTTTAAAACTCAAATTTTTAGAACCTGTTTGATATAAGGGCTAATTACTAACTAGCTAAAATTTAACCAAAATTAGTTTTAGCCTATCCAAAGAAAAAGGCTAAGAGGTAGACTATTTTTTAGCCAAATCTTTAATTAGTTATTATCCAACTAGCTAGCCAAATTTAACTAATTTGAGAGCAACTCCGACAGAAGAGCTATTCATGTTACGTAATCTATATTTGACTATTTAAAAAAAAAGAGTCCAACAGCTATTGCATCTGGCTTTCTAAAATAGCAAATCATCTATCTCGGAATTCTCACATGGTAAATATAGCTAGCATGTGCCGCTAGCCATCTGCCTCGCCGTACTAGAAAGACAGTTGGAGTTTTCAGTTTTTTTATAGAGATTTCTATTTTAAAGATTGGCTAAATCATGGATTTAGCCGTCTACTTTTACCAACTCTCTTGGAGTTACTCTGAGCTAATTTTTAGAATAACTAGTAACTAGTCCTAACTCATCCAAATATGTCATTTTCTCTATATTTGTCCCTCTTCATCTGTCACCCTTTAGAGCCTTGTTGAGATAGACTATATCCTCTAGAGGGCTGGATAACGAGCTAGCTCGGATTGGCTCGGCTCATTCGAGCTCGTTAAGATAACGAGCTAGCTCAGCTCATTTGCTTGTTATCTTAGTGTGCCAGAAGGCCACCTCGGCTCAGCTCATTTACGAGGGTGAGCTGGCTCGTTTAGCTCGTGAACTAAACATAAAAAAAACACAAAATATAATTCTATGCATTTATCTACAACTTGAGAATATAGTATAAAAGTGACACATCTATCCATAAGCCTTAAATCACAAATAAATCAATATATGCTGAGATATACACAAGTATAACAATATACTATAGTACTATATTATATATCCATGATTCATGCTCCATACAATACATAATGCATCCATAATCTATTATTGATTATCCATAAATCCATCTAAAAAAGTGATACATTCATAATAGTCCAGATCCAGCCATCAACCAATTGTAAAGCCTAACACATCAAGTCATATAAAACTACTATGGAGCCACGAGCTTTTCGTCCAAAGTATTCTCCTCTGAGGCCCGACAGAGGTAGATTGTATTCTCCTCCAACACGACATCGATTACAATTTAGACCTGCAAAACCTTGCCTCGCCTGTATCTTGGTTCGTCACTCTCTTATCCACTTGTCCGTCCCTCTTGATCCGTCTCCCCTTCGAAGTCCAACAAAGGTGGACTGTATCCTTCTCTAGTATACCATCAGCTACAATTTGTAGCTTCAAAACCACTGCTCTGACTAACGGACGCAAAGGCAAAGCCGCAGCTCTAGGTTACGCGAAGCCCCTCTCGTTTCGCCCTAAGCGCCACCGCCGCCGCCTCCTTCCACCACCGCTAGTCCCCCTCCCTTCCCCTTCGGCATCTCGCCGGAGGCCGGAGGGAGTGGGGATCCATCGTTTTTATTAACTTTTCTAGTAGATCGAGTTCTTAGGGTTTGAGTCTCTCTATGTCAAATTTCTTAGTATTGGGGATTTATCTCCTCCTCTCCGGCGACAGCGAAGGAGAAGGGTGGAATCGTTTTCTCCATGGCGGCTCTGTTGAAGATGAGGGCGACAGCTACGGCGTAAACGCTTCACCGGCACGACGATACGGAGACTTTCTTTCCGGACAGCGATATCAAGGCAGAGATGATGTCACCATCATGGAAAAAATTTCTCCGGTCTTTTCTCCGTTTTGCTGTGGTTAGATCTGGCCACGATGAAGGACTAGGGAGAATAATTTTCAGATCAGTCTTCCTCATTTTTCGGTGGCAGAAAGAAGAAGAAGAAGAAGGAAGACACAAGAAAGAAGAAGTTTCTCAACTCCGCTTGCAGGAATGTTGGCCATCGTTCATTGGTCATCTGTTCTCAGGGCTTTTGCTGAGTGTTTGCCTGTGTGATCATCCATACGAAACGTTATGCAAGTTTGGTTTTGAGATTTGGAACTGTTCACAGTGTGGGTATAATTTAGATGAAAATAATCAGTTTCTCGATATATGTAGTGTATTTCAGAGTACTTATAACGTGTTGATATACCCAACTATTATCTAATATATAATTCTTCTTTTCATCTAAAAAACCCACTTTGACTGCCTGAGCCCATGCATACCGGGACTCTGCATGCTCGGGCATATGGCTCACCTTTCTTAACCTCATAGTAGATGCATACAAAAGGCACCTGTTTAAGGTGAGATAATCTCTAGACAATTTTCCATAAATGATTAATCCTTATTGCACCTAACACTTACTAAGGGTTGAAAGGATCAAGATATCCGAGAGGGGGTTGAATTGGGGTAATCTAAAATTTTCGCCGAATTAAAACTTATCACTTAGCCCATTTCACTACTTGTGTTTCTAGCATACGCACAAAGTTTTGCACCCTAATTCCAACCCTATATTACTAGCATGGCAATACTAAGAATATAAAGACATGAAACTAATTGCATTAACGTACATGCTCAAAGTAAAAAGAGGGTTAGAAACGTGACGATGTTTTCTTGAGGTATCAAAGAACTCTTCCACTAGTCTTCGTTGGAGCACCTGCGCAAGGGTACAGCTTCCCGTTGATCCATGCAAGGATCAAGTGCTCTCTATGGGCTAATTCTTCGCGTCTTCAGCATGGTGAATCGCCCACAATCGATCACAACATGAGTTAGGTCTCCCACAAGCTCCACCGAGAGATCACCAAGCTCCCAATCACCACCAAGTCATCTACGTAATGTCGATCACCAAGAGTAACAAGCACAAACTCTCACTTGACCTAACTAAGCCTAATGAAATAAGTGGATGCACACTTGCTACTGCCTAAGCACTAATGTAGTTCTTAATCTTGCAATTAGCAATTCTCAATCACTCCACTAAGCTTGAACTCCCCCTTGCTCTCTAGTATGTGTAACCAACATTTTAGAGTGGCAAGAGAGCTGCTAGGGGTATAAATAGCCCCATACCAGCAACTAGCCGTTACAACTCCACTACACAAAATTCAGCACCATCGGATGATCCGGCGATCCTTTGAACTAAACACCGGACTAATTCGGTGCCTGTCCAACGGCTAGGATCTGACTATTCGTAACTGTGTACGGTGAAGTGACCTAGTAACGCATAGTCCGGAGCCTAGCACCATAATAATCCGGTGGCCAATATTCCTCTCTGGTAGCTCTCTAGATATATAGCATCGGATGATCCGTTGCCTAAGCACCGAATCAATCCGGTGTTCATTGCTTGTCTCTTCACAACAAACTCTAGCTGGGTGTTGTAACGCATAATCTGGTGCTCTCAAGGCGCGCCATAGCACCGGATTAATCTGGTGGTATAAAACACCTCCATTCACTTCTAATTCAATCACCTATGTGAATGACTTGCTTCCAACTGATTCTTGGGCTTTCTCTGAGCTATCTAGTGCTAAGTTTCACAAGTGCGCATCACACTAACTCACTAGACTCATCTAGGTCAAGTTACTAGTTCATACCCCCTTTATAGTATGGCCAAAGGAAAAATAAAGTCCTAAACTACTTTAAGTGTCTCCCAACTCCACATGATACTTAGAACTAACCCGTCCTTAACCTTATCACATATCCTTTGAAAACTAAAACGAAATTCCATCAATACGGGGCATGAAAAACATTGATTGCCCAATCATCAACCCTCATTGTGACCTAACTTAACGTCTCTGCAAAATATATGTTAGTCACAATGAGATCTAGTAGAAAAATGATTTGAAGACCAATCTACTCTAGGAGGTCTAAGTCTTTATAAACCGAGTACTCTGGTTTAATGTTGGATGCCCAATCCTTGAGTGGAATTGAACTTAATGAGGTGGAGAAATGATTTGAATAATAGACTTTCATTATTTTTCCCCATTCTAGAGCTCATCAAACATACATGGATTCATCCCATTGATCATCCAAGATCATGTCAATAAAGAGTGGTAACTCCTAATTTGCAATTAGTAAATTTTATGAATTTGGCCTTTTGGTCTCTTTTTGAGTTGCTTTAGATGAAGAAATAATTGGGGCATGATATGGATATTGGATGAGCACAAGAGTTCTAATTCACCATATTTCAATAAGTGAGAACCATAGCTAGTCAAATCAATAAAGTTTCACTTGTGATTATCGGGGTTCTAGTTCACCATATTTCATCAAGTAAGAACTATAGCTAGTCAAATCAATAAAGTTTCACTTGTGATTGTCAAGTCAGTGGAAATTTATGGTAATATATCTACCTTAGTGGTGGTATGTGTTTTTTTTGGCATAATTTTAGTTGTTGTAAATTTATTGTGCCTTGACCAAGATATATGATGAACTCTTCTAGACTCTTAACTGGATAAGTGTATTTCACAAGTACTTGATGAACATGTTAAAGGGGAGCCTATCCTGTATCTTGTGTCTGTGTCTTCCGAGACTAAAACATTTTCTTGTGAATTTACGTAATCTCTTGACTCTTAATTGTATACAGTATTTTGTTTGGTAGAAAAATTAGATGGCCGGAGCAGTTGTCTCTGACATGATCACTTGAGAGAGGAAAGGTGAAGTCGCTCAATCTCATCGCGTCGGACCCCGGTGGCTGCTTGGACCAAATCCGATCTCGTGGCCACGGCCAGCACACACCTCCTGACGACTGACGTCCACCTCTTCCTCCCCTGCCTCAGCCGCTTCTCACCCCCAAGCCTCCGCCGTCGCCCCGTCCTCCCCCATGGCCGCCGCCGCCTCCATCTCTCTATCCCTCCACCTTCGTTTCCGCCCGCCCCTCCCTCCTCCACGCACCCCCCCGCGCCACGCCCCCTTCTCCTTGCTCTCCCCTTCCCTTCCTGCCCCCTGCCGCCTCCGCGTCGCTCCCGGCCGCCCCTCACCGTCCCCCTGGCGCCCCGACGTGCGGGCGCGCGCTGGAGGCACCATCGGGGCGCCGCCTGCGCTTGCGCGCCCGGGCGGCGCCGTGGAGACGGACCGCCTCCCCTCCGACGTGCGGGACCGCGCCATGGAGGCGGTCGACCACTTCGGCGGTCGCGTCACCATAGGCGACGTCGCCTCTCGCGCTGGGCTGCAGCTCGCGCAGGCAGAGCGCGCGCTCCAAGCACTCGCCGCCGACACTGAAGGCTTCCTGGAGGTGCGCCGCTGTATCTGCCAGTTACTCCCTCCTTTCCTCCTCCGCTGGTATCCTTCCGGCCTTCTCTGATAATTGTCGCTGATTGTGTAGGTATCGGAGGACGGGGAGGTGCTATACGTCTTCCCAAAGGACTACAGGGCAAAGCTGGCTGGCAAATCGTTTAGGATGCGGGTCGAGCCTCTGGTTGACAAAGCCAAGGTATTTCCAGGAAGGAAGGTGTAATAATGCGCTTGGTTACTATGAGCTCTTCTGATATTGGTTTGTGCTGCTGCTCTTTTGTAGCAAGTGGGTGCTTATCTGGTACGTGTTTCATTTGGCACTGCGCTCATTGCCTCAATTGTGCTGGTGTACACTACAATCATTGCCATTCTCTCAAGCTCAAGGTATGTTTAGTATATCAGGAAGAATTTATGCGCTAATTATTGTATGTTCACTGCCTAAAGGCCTGTTCTGGAACAATATCTTCATCTTTGTCATATGGTTCAGTTCCCTGAAACGGGCATTCTGTGAATTTTATCTTAGAGGTGCTCTCTCTGTAATTTGATTCATGAAGTGTTATAAAAATGAAGCACACTTAGATTTCATGAGTTGCTTTTTTTTGGGACTTTAGTTGTAGGTTTTGTCATTTAACTCAACACCCCTTTGATTGGTAGCACTTCCTCTTCTACTAGCAGTGATGAAGATAGTCGTGGTAGGCGGCGGAGATCTTATGGTTCTACTGTCATCATTCCAACAGATATGTTTTGGTAAGTTTCATATACATTTTGTGAGATGTTCTGGATCACGCCATTATGTTATTTGACTTAAAAGAACAAAAATGCAATTCCCCTTGCTCTTGGACTCGTGTAGCTACTCAATCTGTCAACCACATGTCCACATCATTTATTACTGTACATTTCAAGTTGGATGTTGCCTGTACTTTGCATGCTTAGTGTTTTGGAATTTTGTGTTCAAATAAACCATCCTAGGGGAAAAGGAAAAAGAACCCGAAACAAAGTTCAATTTGAAATGTTGCTTGTTGGCAAACCAATAGAAGAAAGTACATGGGTTGAAGGTATATACGTTTTTCCAGGAATGCATCCACTACACTTGTCATGCAAATCATCTAATAATTTGGGCATGATAATATTCCTGATGAACAAGAACAATGATCCTAAGCCATCCAACTATTCAATTGTTAGAAGATTCTGTATTGTGTTGTTGGAAAGTTCCAGTGATATTGTTCTCACCATTTCATGTTAAGATGACTATAATGAAATGGGACATACACATATCATTTTGAATTGCAACGTTGTATCGGAAGTTCTGAACAGAAAGTATCATGTACGTTCACTGTTCATGTGCCTGCAGGTACTTGGATGCAGATTATTACAGAAGGCGTCGAGTAGAAAACGAAAATGGGATGAACTTTATTGAATCTGTAATCTAAAAGGGTTTGACTTGATTGTTCATTCTCACTATGTTTTGATGGAATGTGTAGGTAGTTTGAAACTGTATGTAATGTTTATTAAATAAATGCCACAGGTATTTTCGTTTGTGTTTGGGGATGGTGATCCAAACGACGGGCTTGAAGAGAAGCGGTGGAAGATGGTATTTTCTTTTTCTTTTGAGAAAATTTAGTTTCTTCATGACCATTTATTATATATTCATTTTTTGCTATTACAGATTTCTAATTCCTATTTGAATAATTCACAGATTGGGCAGTACATTTCATCAAATGGTGGAGTTGTCACAGCTGAAGAACTAGCACCGTTTCTTGATGTGCCACCTCCATCAGAAGAGTCCAAGGCATGTGAACTCTTGCCCTAAGTACTGCTTATTTAGTTAAGAGATTAAGTTCTCTACTCCCTGCACCTGTGAAAGCAATTTGCTCTTCCTTTGAATAATAAACTGAGGGGAGGCTTATCGTATTCATATTTTCATACCATTTCTTGAACTGCAGGACGATGAATCATTTGTTCTTCCAGTTCTTTTACGTTTCCAGGGACATCCAGAAATTGATGAGCAGGTCCAACCTTCTTCTCTCTTAGCAGTTCAGACTTGTACCTGAGAACTACCATTGTCAAATATAGCCTACACTTTCAACCCACCCAGCTAACACTGGCGGAGGGTTGGGGGTTACTGGGTTTTGGGTTTTTTCTCCATTATGTACCACCAAAAAATTTGGAATAAACAAACAACCCCAATCATGTCAGGTTCTCTACTAAAAAATAGTAGATCTCAATTGACTAACATGCTATATCATTGGATCTTGCATGCCTAAGTATCTAATCCTTCAGATCTATTGCAAGTTTCCAATAAAGAAAAATGATAAAGGAACATGCAATGTGTGAGTAGATGTAAGAAAAAAGGTGTTGGGAAATGCCATGTCCTGGATGATGAAGGGTGCAGCGGGTGGTTTCAGATGCCATGGAGGCGTCAGCCAAAGCAAAAACACCCTTACATTACATGCACTAGTTCCTTCACTTGGATGACGTTTGGTTGGTGGGAAATAGAGACTGGGAGGGAAATGAAGGGTGGGATAGAATTTATCCCGTGTTTGGATTGTGGGATAAGAAAATGAACATGGATTGGGATAGGGAAATAAGGCTTGCCTTTTCCCAGCCATCTATACCCGATGAGAGGGGGGGGGGTGGTTAGATTGGGAAATGATGTGGTGGAAGTGGAAGCGGGGCCAAAAGAGATAGCGATGGGTTAGATTGGGAAATGGTGTGGTGGAAGTGGAAGCGGGGCCAAAAGAGATAGCGATGAAGATGCCGCGGTCACCTCGCGCACTGGCCATCAGAGCAGTTGAGGACCGCTGCTCGCCTTGCGCCATGGGGTCGCCGGAGCCACCTTCCTCTCGAGTAGGTGGCTATGACCATCTACAGCTGGAGTTGATGCTTCCCTCATTCTGCGCCGCACAGCCGCCTGCAAGTGCTGAAGCAGCTGCTTCCTCCCTCGATTCTGTAGTGTGTTAGGAGGTGCTGCTTCATTGATTAATTGTTGGAGACGATTGATGAGGTCAGGGAGCTGGGTCTATGGAGATTGGGGATAAGTTCGGCGGTGTGCAGCGTAGGGATAAGGATGATGTGCAGCGGAGGCTTTCTGTATTCTTTTTTTTTAGAATATGGGGCGCACTTTAAACCCAAACCTAAACCTCCTGATAGGCCAAACAACGGATTGGGTTTAGTACCTTATTTCCTATCCGTAACCCACCCTTCTCAATCCTCTCCTATATCCATTTCCCTATCCCACTAGCAATCCAAACGCCACCTTGAGGTTGAGGAAGAAGGGGAATACAGGCATACGGGCTGCAACCATCACACATCAGTAGTACGCAGCGAGTTAAATATTGTCCACCTTGGCTGACAGATAGCTCTGCCTGTGCCAGCTACATACTGAAGATGGCATTTTTCTGAGTAACTTAATGGTTTTGTTTTTCTTATAGGGCAATATCCTGTATCGATTCCCATCGCTGCAACGTACTGCTTCATCAAAAAGTGGTAGGAGCAGGGAATATGTGGGTACCAAATGGTCTGCAATGTTTAGCGGAATTGAAAAGTACTTAGAGGAGAAACCATGGAAATTCAGGTCAGTATATATCATTGTCATCCTTAGTGAAGTTGAACTAACCCAGGATGCAATTTTACGAAATAAAGAAGTGTGAAACTCCCATGATAATTTTTTTAGATTTCTAATACAATTAGTGTATGTGAATTTTAAATAGTATTTTGTAAATACGTTACATGAGGAGCGCAATGCATGAGGATCTAGAGATTAGGCGTTATGTTATATAGGTTGATTCATTAAGTGGTATTTTTTCATCAGCTCTAAATTTGCTATTTTAATCTATTCTATGCCCTTTCATACACCTACCCTGTTGATTTTGCAGTAAAGCGAATGCATCAGAGAAGGCAATGGTTGCTGGTTTGGGAGGACTCAATCTCTTTGGTGTCATCATTCTTGGAAACTTGTTGAAGTAAGAATTATACTAATTCTGGCCCCATGTATCATTGATAAATGATATGTAATGCTAACAATATGTATTAAAATTTATCATGAAGGCAAATGACAGTGACACCTGGTGGACTAATCTCATTTGTGGCACAGTTATATCCTTTGCTTCAGGTATGGCTGGGCTTGATATGCCTGTTTAGTACATATCGTGGCCACATTTGTGCATATTTGGCCTGACAGAAATCACTAGCCCTTCTCTTTTTTAAGGGAGTTTCCAGATGTTGTGAATTTTGCAAAATTGTTGATTGTTGAATTACCTATGAATTAATAATATTATCAATGATATGTACTGATACAATGTGGTCATTTCTAGATATACGCTGGCTCCTTTTTTGCAATACCTTTATTTAGATGGTTTCTGCTACGCAAGACCAACAATGACATTAGAAAGAGGAATAAGGCAAGAGAACAACGAGCTCAGGAACTCGTGTCACCAGATTCTTCTCTAAGAAGAAAGGTAATAACAATTGAAGTTCCAGACAACTCTATGTGTTTATTTTTCCGTTACCCATGTGTGGACCTGTTTGGAGAAAATCATGATGGATTTGGAGCATTCACAGAAACCTTGTAGACTAGACTTATTGTGATCGGTAGCAACCTATTTATTCCTGACATTAGAAACTTCTGAAAAGAAACCTGTTACGGGCTTGATGTCCATGACTGGACCAGCAGGTCTAACAGTGGCTGACGAGGGCTCCCTGTCACCCTGTGGTACGGCCACGCGTGAACAGTACCACTGGATTAAGCGTAGTTTAGGGTCATCTCTCTGCCTTTTGCTGAGTCTCTTAAACTGCTTTCAGCCTTTGTGCTAACTCTTTTAAACAGCTTTCAATCCTTTTTCTCCTTCCCCTAGCTGCCGCCACTCTCTGCCATGCCTCTTGTCTCCCTTTGCCCCCATCTCCATGGCAGCCACCTCCTCCCTGCCTAATAACTAGATCCATAGTGAAGCCACTGTAGAGGGGCTTAAAGCATAAGATCAAAGTGTGTGTCAATAATCTGTTATGCAGCTTGGATACTACATCCAATCACAATACTGGCTATTTGAATGAAAATATATGCTTATCATGACATTTTTAGATTGTGTGGTATGCACGTCTTTATTGCATTCTTTAATATTACTCAATTTATTTTGGTGCCTTATCATCAGCTTCACGCCATACACATTTTAGATGCTACATCCAATCACAATTTACAAATATAAGTCTATCTAGGTTTGTCCTAAAGATCTTTTGAACTTTGACTAGCGATATCCAAAATTTTATATAGATTGACAATACAAGATTGGGATTACTAGATTCTTTGTGAAAAATATTCTCCTAATGTATAATTCTTTCCACTTCAGATAATGTATTTTTATTAATATTACTAGCTGTCGATGTCCGAATGGGCTTATATTTCCAATTAGAGGAAGTAATTGATACTTGGCTTCATGACCTTCTCTAAGTTGGTCTTTTTTGAACCTTTGAAGCAGCATAAATTTGCCTTGTGTTTTCCTATATTTTCAGTTGCTCAGTGCACGCGATATGGCTGAACGGAAAGTAATTACGCCGGAGGAGATTGTCTATACTACTGAAAAGGATCTATTGGAGCAGGATTATGAAGTCAAGGAGTGGGAGAGGAGATTTAAGGAGCTTGAATCAGAGTGATGGACATGACCGATATACTTGACATTCGTAGTAGTTCTACACGGTCCTCCCATCAGACTTGGTGGTAATTTTTATCTGCGTCCAATTGAGTGGAAGATAGATCTGACTGAACCACTCAACCAAGTGAAATTGGATGGTACTGGACCTCACTAACAGTCATATCACCACCGGCCCACCACTGACCACTTTGCTATGAAAGTTTTGTGGAAGCTGTTGGTTTAATTGAAATCGACCATTGTTTGCAAGCTGATGTACATATCTGTGGCATTGATCTGCATATTTGTATAGTTCCATTCACGGGACTGGAGATCAAATTCAGATTTCGACACGAAAAACAGGGAATATAGATATGATGTTACTCGGTTTGAGTGGAGTCCCATCAGAACATGTAAGATGATGAGTCTGTAAACAGGGGACTCAGACTTGGGCATTCGTGTCAGAACTCAGAACTCTGTCTTGTCTAGGAATAGACATACTGTTACAACTTTCAGCCAGGTGAATCAATTCATGATCGGAACGTAACAATTTCTTGCATTAAGATGAAAATGTGTATCTCCTATTCTCCTGTCTGCGTTTATTATTGTGATTTGAGACACTTTCGCCTCAACGTGTCCAGTTTCTGTACTCCATACACGGAGAATTAAACAAGGGAAATCTACCAAGGTCAAAAGAACAAAATTACATAGTATATTTGATACCAATTATCCCACCAATAAACAGTTGCAGTCAATGCAGCTATTCCTACTGTTTGTACCTTTCATTTTTTGGGTGAAAAGGTAAGCTCTGATGAATCGACGATGCATATGCTTCAGTCAGTTCTAACCTATTGTCAGTGTGAGTACAGTAAGAGGTTCTGATCGCTATCAGAAATCCAGTATACGCACTCAAGTTGAGGTGACCAAATTACTCAGAAGTTCCTGCCGAATATGCCAGTTTGTTATTTATCTGACGTACAGAAAAAAATGCTGTACAATGGTAATGTCAAACTGATTTACCTTGAGTTGCGACAGGAAACCCTGTCAGCTAACATTTCCTAGCTGCAGTTGTTAGTGCTCCTGCTCCGTCGGTAGCCTAGGCTGTCAGGATAGGACGAATGCGACGGACGCCATGGTGACTAGTGCAAACAAACGAATCACCTGCCAAACACAAAATGCACAAGGGGATATTTCAGTTTTAATTTAATATATACAGGCACATTTCAGACGACAGCAGATGGGATTGGTCTGTGTGTGAATTTGTGCTAATGCAACTACTGATTACGGCATCCTCCCTTTCCCGTGGCGGAGAACCTATTCCTTGCGACCGACCATGCCTAACCTGGCCATGCCACTCGGCATCTATCACTCACTCTCTCCCAGTTCCAGTGCTCCAAATGTGACAAGACTGGAACAATTAATCAAGAATATACCGCACGTACCTGTCGTGCTGCAGTCGACGACGACACCAGCACCGGCGGGAGGTATCCGTGCAGGCCGACGTTGTACACCGGTGTGCCATCGGGGTAGAAGAGGCCGTAGTTCCTCTCGGACGCCGGGCCGGGCTTGAGGTTCTCGTTGAAGAGGGCGAACACGTAGACGTCGACGGGCGTGGCCGGGCGCAGCGGCGTGCCCTGCTTCATCTCGATCCGCTGCAGCAGGTTGCGAATGTAGGTCCCCGCGTACTCGGGCGTGGCGCCGGGCTCGTCGGCGTCGCCCCGCGACGGCCACCCGGTCTCCGACACCTTGACCTCGACGTCCGTGTACCCGAGCCCCTGGATTGCCGCGTACACGGCGTCCACCTGGTTGTCGTATCGGAGGGCGTGCGGGCGTCGACGACGCCGGCGGCGTTGGGGCGGAAGAGCACGTAGTCCAGCGGCACCCGCGCCGGTCGTCCTTGTACGCGAAGTAGGTGTAGCAGTTGATGAGGAACGGCGCCCGCGTCGCGGACAGGAAGCCCAGGAACGGCTGCAGGTGCGCCAGCGCCGCCGGGTGGAACGCGCCGGCGGAGGGCGGGAAGGAGACTCCCATGATGTCCAGCGAGTGCGCCGTGGTGACGTTGACGCAGCCCTGGAGGCCCAGCGCGCCCAGCGCCCTGTGCACGGACTGCATGGCGGGGAGCACCGCGGCCTGGAGGGCCGTGTCGTTGCCCTTGAACACCTCGTTGCCCACGGTGACGCAGGTGATGCGCGCCCCCGCGCGGAGGTACGGCACCACGTGCTGCTGCAGCCACGCCTGCGCTGCCGCGGGGCTCACCATGGCCGGGACGTACTCGTTGCCGATGCCCACCACGAACTCCACGCCCGTGCCCAGGAACGCGCGCAGGACGTTGGGGTCGGCGTCGTACAGCTTCAGAAGCTGATCCGCATCGACCGGAGCAGCCACGACACCCGCGCCGGCGACGGCAGGTTGTTGGCGATGTGCCCGTAGTTGACGCCGATCGACAGGGACTCGGCCACCGCCACTTGCTGATTTGCAATTAATTATATTGATTGTCTTAATTTTTTTTGTTGTTATTTGGATTCGTGCCATTATAATTTTCGATGTTTGGAAAAACGCTATTACTATTCGCCTATTTTGAAGTATACCATTACAATTCTTCGTTTCCCACAAAAAATACCACTGAATACGTATGGACACAGCCTGGGCTCAGCTACAGGCGTATACGAAGACGTATACTTCATCACCCTGTCACTTACACGCGGGCCCCACATGTCATCTTCTCCTCTCCTCTCTCTCCGGCTCTCTCTCTCCATCTCGACGCGCCCACGGCGGGCACTGCCGAGCATGGCGACGGTGACCCCCGGTGGTGCGCTGGTGGCCCCCTCCCCCTCCGCCTCCTTCCTCTCTCTGTCTGCTCTCGACCTCCTCTCTCTTTGACTCTCTCTCCCCACGTGGCGGCGCAACCAGGCAGATAGGACGAGGCGGCGGCGCACCGGCAGGCCATTGGCACGCGGTCGATGGCCGCCCCCTACCACGACGGCGCACTGGCGCGGCCGCGGCCACAGTCAGCACCCCACGGTGGGCTCGAATTTGGCGACGGTGATCCCCGGCGTGCGCTGTGCCGTCGCGGCTGGCCCTGATCCAGCGTCTCGATCTCGTGCGCTCCCTCTCCGCTCGCCGGCCCTCCTCGCGCCGCCCTTACCAGCGCCGCCGTCTCTCTTTCCCCCTCTCCCCGTGCGGCGGCGCATCGGCTAGCCCTCCCTCTCTCTCTCTTTCCCTCTCATGTCCCGATGTGGTGGCGCACCAGCCGACGATGCCCGCGGCCGTGGCCATCCCCTCCGCTCCCCCGCGCGCCGTGCGCACCTCTCCCTCTCTCCCCTCTCCTGATGTGCCTTAGTGTAGGTGGGTCCCTGTCATGGCGTGGCCGACGCACGGCAGAAGCTTGGCCTCGAGGCCGCTCGTCCTCATCTCCGAGTTTCATCTTAATTTGGCCATGTGCCTCTTAGGGAGGAAGGAGGCGGAGGGGGAGGGGGCCACCGGGCGTGCTGCTGCTGCTCGCCGTGGCCGTGGCCGCGTCGGGATGGAGAGAGAGAGAGAGAGGAGGAAGAAGAAGATGACATGTGGGGCCCGCGTGTTAGTGACAGGGGTGATGAAGTATACGTCTTCGTATACGTCTGCAGCTAGGTCCAGGCTGTGTCCATACGTATTCAGTCGTATTTTTGTGGGAAACAAAGAATTGTAATGGCATACTTCAAAATAGACGAATAGTAATATCGTTTCTCCGATCATTGAAAATTATAATGGCATGAATCCGAATAACCGTAATTTTTTTTTTGTTATATATCAACATCGAGGACGAGTACAAACTCATCCGATCTAGGCTAGATTGTGGTTCACACATTCATTCCGGTGAAGTTTTAGTGACAGTGAGTGGTGATCCGATCTGTGGCCATTAAAACAAGGAGATCGAAGAAACACAGCTTAATTAATTTGATGCATGTGTGATAATTTGACCATGGTAACACAGCGCTGGGTACGTACGTAAGAGTATGGAATATAGGAGTATAATACAACTATACAAATAGCTAGTATAATGCTACGGTCTACGGAGCACGTGATGCAATGGAAGCAAGATCTCAGTGGACCACATCGGCATGTGTGGCTCTGCCACCACTGTCACTGAGAGCTACCAATAACCTAAAAAAAAACTGCTATTAAATCGACCCACCTGCTTATTCGAAAAACCACGTGGACTGCCAATTGCACATATCGCCGGGCACACCAGATTGGTAGCTGGCGACGGCAACTTTGGTGGTGTTTAAATAGAGAGCTAAAGTTTTTATAGTAATAATAAAATAAATTATAGAAGTCCTAGTAATCTACGAGATGAATTTACCAAGCCTAACTAATTCGTCATTAGCATATGTCACTGTAGCTTTACTGTATCACCACATTGTCAAATCATGAATTAATTAGGCTTAAAAAATTCGTCTCGCAAAATTAGTCGTAATCTGTGCAATTATTTATTTTTTAGTTTATATTAATACTCCATGCATATATCTACATATCCGATATAATAAGGACTAAATTTTAGGAGGAGGAACTAAACAACGCTCATGCTCATCCCAGTGGCGCTAGGGTTTCCCAGCGGCGCAACTCGCCGGCCCTGCCTCTGGTGGTCGAGCGGCACCAATCTAGGCAGCGGATGAGTTCTCCTCCCTCCCTCCGGTGGCGCGGCCTGTAACACCTCTGGTGTTATGAGCTCGCTAAGCACCGAGATTATGACATGTGAGATAGATCTAATAATATAGTGAGTTCGTTTACTTAGCGTAAAGAAGTGGTGATGAAAACTCATAACAAAAAGAATAGAATAAGTTGAGTTAATTGTTGGCATGAAAACAATTTCTATGAACAACGACCGATTATAACGGGAGGATAGTGTGGAAATAAAGATTTGAGGGCGAGTTACGTAGCTGGCTATGCAATTTAAATCTTGGAGAATAATAATGTCAGCTAGTATTTTTGCGAAGCTTAGAAATCAAATTGAAATTAGATCCACTCTTCACGGTTAAGTCGGCAAAC